AATAAAATTAAAAAATTTCAATTTACTAGCGGTTTAGTACATAAAGCTATCTTAAATAGCTTTTTCAATCCGTTATCGGTTTGAACCCTAACTGCTATCTGTTAGTTCCAAACCATTAAATAAAAAGTTTTACTAAACACTTAGTTTAGTGGTTTCAAAATAAATAAATTTATCAGAACACTTATTTTTAGTTGCTTGAGCAAAACTACTAACCATTACTTCCAAACCGTTATACCAAACTGGCAGTTAATATCCCAATTTTAATATAGAAGCATAATAGGTTACCGAAAACTCTTTCATGTAATATATATTTTTGTCTTGCAAGGCTGAGGTTACGGTGAAACGAGCAGACTTGTCACTTGCACAACATGGCCCGTGATGAAATAGAGATCACACTCACCGAAAGCGAGGGTGAGAAATTGAAGTCATTGGAGGAAGCAGTCCCGGTTTCATCGCCATTAAACAAGCCATTAATTCAGATGGCCCCGCAGATCTTGCGCTCGTGCTACGGCAAGGAGGATTGGGAACGATATTTCAAACCGACTTCTGTTGCGATCGGTCCCCTCCACCATCGAAGAGAGAATGGCAAAGATTCAAGAATGGAAAGAGGTGAGCAGTGCAAGCTAAAACTGGCGGCAATGTTCATCGAGCGTTGTAAGGGCACGGGGGAAGATTTCTACAAGAATGTCAAGAGGGAGATACATACCTTGAAATACTGCTATAACTTTGAAGAAGTACAGAAATGGAGTGATGAGGAGTTGGCCTGGATGTTCTTAGTGGATGGTTGTGCATTGTTGCAATTCATAGTCCTTGATGTGAAAGATGCGTGGGAGGAATTCAGTGTTGATAATGATCTAGTCAGCATTGAGAAGGTAGATTTTTTCTTACTTGAGAACCAACTGCCCTACCAACTTCTTGAGATATTGATAGACTCGTTCGATAGAGCCTTTAGTGTACACTTTCCAGACATTTATCCTTCGGAGTCCCCCAAGCAATCCATTGCCGAATTCATAAATAGGACTTTCTTGATACTGACTGCGCAGCAACGACACCAAATTCAGATTGATTTTCCTCAGCCTTATCCTGGTTATCATCTTCTAGACATGTTGCGAAGAAAACTGATGGGAGAGAAGGATGAGAAAGCAAAAGAGATTAACAATAATGGTCTTTTGGAGAAACTGACTGGTGATAAAAGCAAACACGGGCCCTTAAAAAGCAACGTAAGGGAGCTGAAAGACAAGGGTATTCGTTTTAAAGCGAAGGAAAAGGAAGGTGCCATCACGGACATTGATTTCAAAAACCGTTATCGCATGGCAACCCTTACGCTGGCTCCCATTTTTTTGCACAATACCACCGTGCCATTGTTGCTGAATTTGATCGCGTATGAGCTGTGTCCGGATTTCAAAGAAAAATGGGAGATCACCTCGTACTTCTCATTCCTCAACTCTTTGATTGATAATGCGGAGGATGTGAAGGAACTGAGAGTTGCAGGCGTGCTGTACAACGGATTAGGAAGCGATGAAGCTGTAGCCGAGCTGTTGAGCAAGACGAGCGGCATCCTGGTGCAAAATCATAAGATAGACTCAGAACTGAGATGTTATATCCATAAATACTGCAACAGCAACAAGTCACACTTCATGAAAGTCATTCACACCTATTTTAGGACTACTTGGAGCTTCTTGGTCTTCCTCAGTGCCTTAGCAGGTCTTATTATGCAAGGAATGCAAACTTATCATAGCTTCCACGAAAACAAGCTCCGCTAGTGAACTTTAATTACTATATATATTAATAGCGTTCTTAAAGTATGTCTTTGGAGCCAATTGCGTTGACAAAATGATTTTATATATTTGTTGACGAAAAAATTTTATATATATATATATATATTTTTTTTTTTGAACATTTTGATACGGGGCGGGTTCGAAACCCGCCCAGGGGAGGGGGGAATGCACTTAGCAAGCTGGTTAATGCCAATGGGCCTATAGGCTCAAGTGCGACGAAAAAATTTTATATATTTGTTGTTATTAAGATAATTATATTTATGGTATTTTTTATTAAACATTGGCAACCATTATTTTGCTTATGATAAATATAAATAAATTTTCCCTTCATTATAGTCCCTACAAATTACACCGGTAGCTAATAAGTTTGTCAGTATAGATTGCATCCGTGCACATTTGTACCGATTAGAAAGAGTTGTCAGTATGGTAATAAAGAACTGCACCAATAGTTATTTATGACCAATGTCTTAGACAATTCACTGATTGATGTGATATACTAATGACAACACATTAGTACTGTATTATTCTATCAATATATATTGCGGTGTTTAGTGGCATATTATTCATCCATATATTTCTTAGCATATACTAACGATTGTTTTTGCAATTTATTTGATGGGAGTTACACCAATGCCCTTCTGCCAGCAGAGGTTTTTTTTTTTTTTTTGGAAAAACGATAATGCCGCTATATCTAGATCCCTTTATTGTCCAAATGCACAAAACAAATTTCATAAAATTCACAAATCCACTTGAATTGTTGTTGGAATGCACAGAACCTACTTTCATTAACTAAATAACAAGAACAATCCATCCAATAGAAACAAATTTGACAAAACAAACATAATGTAATTCGATGAGTTCATAAATCTAATTGGCCAGCACTTACACCAAGAATTACAACAATTCTAACGAATTTAAGACTTCATTTTACACATGTCTATCAAAAATGTGAAAAAGAAAAAAAGAAAAAAAGAAGTAAACCCCTCAAATGAATTGGAGGAGAAGAAGTCATAAACAAGAATTGCAATATTTTCACAAAAGAGTTAGGTATCGTAGTTCTAGCCTTTAAAGTAAGAATCTCACTTTGTTTTCCTTTTCCTTCATTACATCTATCAATATAGATATTTAACCAAACTTAAATCAACGTGAGCATTTTATCAAATAGAACATGACTCTTGGGACATGCAAAGATATAACATTCTTTAATTTATATCCCAAAATGTACTCGGACTGCATGCACACATCCATAAGTAATTTAGTATAAGATAGCAAATTTTATTGAGAGGAATCAACAAAGAAAAGAAAAATGGACCAACATCTTAATGTTTATTTGTAAATTGGAAGAAAAAGATGTTTACAGGGTCAGCCTACTAGGAAACAAAGTGGATTAGAAAGAAAAAAATGGTTAAAGGATACAAAGAAAGAGAGTGACGCCTACATGTTGATAAAAAAGAAAAAAAAAATAGTGATGCATACATTACTAACCAATAATCAACTTAAGCATATATTTGACAATTTTAATAAAACCACAGTGTGTATAATTTTATTAAAGTTCCAATCATCATGCCATTCATATTTATCTATTCAAAAAAAAAAAAAAAAGCAAATAAAAAGGATAAATAGGCACACATTTATATCAATGACTAGATAGTTCTAGATAACAAAATTAAGCGATA